CGATGTTGAAGTATACATACAGGTAGATTCTGTAGCCGAAAGATTTTACTGAACTGATCTTCCTTTTTTGGCGATTTTTCTCGTGGTCCTCGCCCATTTTCGAGACCCTGCTTTGTTTCTGATTGAATAATTGATTTAAATGATTGTGATTGGTTGTTTGCTGTGCATGAAGAACCTGCATATCTCTCACTATGAACAAATTTGAAAGTTGGAGTAATTTATGTTCTATTAGACAGATCTTCCTTTGAGAATAGTGATGTTAAATTCAGTGATTTTTCCTTTTGTTTCAAGCAGCAAAGAAGTTTGAGCATGACTTGAGTTCGTTTGTCTTACATGATCACATCCTGTGTTGCAATGGCTGAAACAATATATCGTGCAGCCCTAATATTCAGTATATTTCTATTGTCCTGTGTTACTGAACAACTTTTTCAGTGGAGCTGTCATTGTTCCACTTTCATTTAAAAAAAAAAAATGTGATTATCAGATCAAGTACTTTTAAGAAATGTGACTTTTGGATGATAATAAATCAAATGAATTACTGATTACATGTTGGGCTGTTGCTGCAAACCTGGTAAACATACTGTGAAGGATTTTTGTTAAAAGGGAAATAAATGTACCATTCGCTTTGTTAACATTTGTTTTGCCTTGACCAAAATGTTCTTGTAATCTTGAAACTAAATGTACATATTTTTCTGCAACTAGGCAAGAAGAGAATAAAATATTGCAGTTGTTAACTGAGACTAAGCGTTGCCTTAATGGTGGTAGATTTTTTTTTTAGCTATTGTATGAGAATTATTTATCTGAGACTTTAGAATATCACCTAAAATCAAAATTGTAAAGCATTACTGAGCAAATAGAAGCAGCATAACCAGTCTAACATCTGCACACTAACTCTGCCACTCCTTCATATGCAACTCCTCAGATCCTAGTTAGTGAGTAAAGGCCACGTCATTACTCCAACTACAAACAACGTGAATAGCAAGTAAACAGTCTCTAAAGGGTCTGGAAACTCTGAGCTTGACATTGAAAAGTGCTTGAGACAGCTTGACATTGTAATGGTTATCCTCCTGTAGATTGCTGTCACAAAACAGTGTAGTTGTGTATAGCACAGTAACATCAACTTAATATAATATCCTGGAAGTTTAACCTGAAGTCAAAAGTAAAACGATGTTCTCATGTTTACCAATTGATGACTGGGCGAGGCTACGTTCACATCTAAAACTGGATACAATGCATAATAACTGAGATTGAGTTTTAAAGCAAGATCTTTCATTTATTTGTGCATAATGGCAAATAATTCAAAGCCTTCAGCAGGTTACACAGCTAAGTCCTTAGGTGTAAACAGGTGACGTGGAGCCCATGCGAGCACCGCACTTTCTGTGGGGGAGGGGTGTGGGGGCAGGCGTTGCAGGTGGTGATGTCATCATTTATACGTCTTCATGTGCCACAATCCATCATTCAGATAATGAACGTTCTCAATACCAATTCCTTTGTTGACTTTCTCTCTGTTTGAAAAAAAAAGATTATTATTCATCAAAAGAGCAGAAAGGATGTTTTAATGCTTTTTTTAAACGTGAAAGAAAGGCTTACATGCTGTCTGCTGACATCTTCATAATGCCAACACAAAGTGCAAATTGTTTTCCCTCCGCCATTATGGCCTGCATCCAGTTGTTAAAGAAACATTTGTACAATGATTTTTGTTGTAGATTTGGAAGTAATAATTAACTCTATAGCCAGGGTATATGCAGGAATCCTGAAGTCAAATGTAATACCTTTTAAGACCTTTTTTAAGACCCTTTCCATACATTTTAAGAACTCATCGCCACTTGGAGTTTTAACCAGTTACCTTGGCGACACACTTTACCTCACATTTACTATATACAGTATTGATTGTCCTTCCTCCTTATCTTCCAACCATTTGGACGCAAACTTGCATTTCCCCATAACCATGTTGTTTAACAACCGGCGTAAACGGACCTTCGTGCGCTATCAAGCAGTGAGCGTGCGATGTCCTGTTCAGATGACGTCAAATCCAACGGGATGCCATAAATAAACTACACAGAATCACACTACACACCTACGCAATGATTACATTCAGGCAGACTGTAGAATACAACCTCTTTGGACAATTTATATACTTATTGAAAACAAGCTATAAAATGTAATACCTTGGAAAATGCCGTTTAATACTTTTCGCTAAATTGATTTATCAACTTTTAATACTCTTTAAGACCCCGCGGACACCCTGATAGCACAAGAACACTTCACAAATATATTTTTTGTGTGAAAATCAATCCGCTTCCACATGCAGCCTCATGTTTAAAAGGATACAACTGCTGTGTCAGCTGCAGCTGGGTAGAGTTTAGCGCCTGGCGACGTCAGCCCGGGGCACATGATGTTGGCTCCACTTAAGACAAACTTAATGGCTCCTTTGTCTACTTGCTGGTGGGGAAGAATGAAAGGATCTTGGAAAAAAGAGAAGGAAGACTTTTACTTAGCTTTGTGATCAATAAGTCATAACCAAAACATACAAAGGCACACTGCATTACAGAAATGAAAGGTCCTTCTGAAGGGCAGATCTAACCTTTTTTATTTTTTGTTAATTGTGTGCATTAGGATCTTACATTTATGCAACAGTCTGAGGGTCGGGTAGAATGGGCCTTCTCTCTGTCTGAAGAAGAGCAGTTCTCCATTCACTGTCAGGATTTCAATGTGTTCATGGCTGTGGGGATAACAATAGAAATATTACAAATGTCAAAGGCAATCCACTAAAAACACACTGCATTTAAGAAAAATTATGAAGGAAATAACTGAATCATACCATCTCACGATTTTGACAGGGTCTTTTTTTGGCATTATGTGATTGAGCCATGTCTCAATGTCTGGAAACTGTTCCAATAGCTGATTTTTGATGCCCTTGATCACTGATGTTTTCAGCTGGATACAGTTCGACACATTTTCCTTATCATCAAATCTGAAACAGTAAACAGTGCTTTTAGTATAGATACAAATACAGCCATTAAAAACAAAACAAAGGCAACTGCTCGTCACATTTGACAACAAAGCTGTACTTATTTTTCAAGTGAAATAACTAATATACTGTAGGCCTAAACATGTGACAAACATACACAACATGAGCTCACTGATTACACATTGTGGCCAATATTGGCAGTAACTATTGTGTTGGTTTAATTATGATATTTGATTTAAAAACCAAGAACCAAAAGCAATGACACCCACCGATTACAGATATTTGGAAAGGGGATTCAATTGTAGTTTTAAGAGATACAACAGAATGCTCTAACTTGTTTGTTCTAAAAAGTAGATACATAAATACATAAGCAAGTGGGCTTTCTTCTTAAATCTCATCCAGACTAAAACATGAATAATAGTGTAATTCTCACTCTCATTACAACTCAATCTGAAAAAATAGATAGCTTTACCTAATTAGAAGAAAGGTGAATTTCATCATTGTGATTACTAAAATACAGGGCCGTATTGCTTAGTTAAGACATATGAATGAATAATATCTAGATCACATATGAATGATACATTTTAACAGATGTGTTTTCCGGGCCCGGTCTACTGCAATAGCACAGGACCTTACCGATATTATAAATGATGTCTGTTTGTCTCATTAATTGAACTTGAGCATACAACAAAACTAACTTGCTAATCAGTTAGCGTTAGCCACCTAGCTGTGGTTAGCTAACGTTACAACACATAAATCATCACATACGTACTTTTTAAACATCCTCGTTGGTCGCTGTAACGGTTTCCGCGTTCCTCAATTTCCACAAAGCTTGTCCGGACTTACTGCGCAAATATGTGTGTGTTAAACACAATAAGATAATAGAAGACAGTTCATATATCAAGAAATGCTTCTCTACTTCCACGCCTGTTTAGCAGTGGAGGGCCAGAGTTGTAAGGGTTTGCTTCATTTTACGACAGTTGTTTACGTTACACGGCAGGTCTTCTGTCACCCAAGTAACCATTTTTTTATAGAACCTTTATTGAAATCAACAACTGTAGTTCCAATGTAGGATTTAACCACCTTCTATCTATTTTGGGAATTGTCTTCTTTTCCATGTTGTTAACTTTGTTTTTAATGCTTGTACAACGTACTTTGAATTAACTTTTAAATGTATGTGCATCGAATTATTTAGGTGTTGATATGCTTTTTAAACTTTTTTTAATTCTAAGTAATGGTAACAAAAATGTTGTGAATTAATAGCAAGATCATACTTTATGTGGTCTAAATTAATGTAAACAAATTTAAAGTGAGCGCAATAAACAAGAATACAATTAGTCGTATGATGAAAAAATATAATAATGTATATATATATACTGTATAATGATATATATAGATACATTAGACAGTACATTTCCCTTTAAATATATTTATTTATTCATTCATATTAATCATTAATATTATATAAACGTGACATCAGTCCGTGGTGATCAGTGACATGGCGCCATCTTGTGGCCAGAGCAGATAACAGCACTGTTTTCTGCACGAAAAAAACACGCTTGTGCAAAAAGTACTTTTTGTACAAAGTACTTCCGGTGGGTCACCGACTAGCTTTTTTGTGCGAAATTTCCTCCCTGTTTTCCGACGGGTGTTTTAGTATCACATGAGACTATTTCTCTGCTGTAGTTACATTTATTCTGTGAATAAGTATCTGAAGGCTGCTTCAGTTATTAACCGCTCATACTTAACGACTGTGCAACGCGGTGAGACACGAGAGGCGAAAAGAGGAAGCAATAGCCGACCATCTTTCTTCTCCTGCCAGCAATAACAAGAAAGAGACAAGGCTAGGTCCAAGTGAAGCCGAGTAGTTTACTGTTTATTATCAGTTTTATATTGGTAAAAAGGACCCTCCGTCCGCGTTGAGACACACACAAGCTATCGGACACTGAGCTCATCTCCCGGCGAGCCTGGAAGTTTTGGATCACCAGAAAAAGACAATCTGTTAAAGAATTAGTATCCCCGTTTTTTCATGTTTCCAACAGGTTTATCTTCCCCTAATCCCCCACCACCGCCAACCCAGGAGGCTAGACCAGTGGCTACTGATGTCAAACCCGACAGCGGTAACATCACATCCCCGAAGAAGAGGAAAATAAACGGCTCTGAGAGGGAAGACACTGCTGACAAGTCCCTGAATTCCTCCTCCTCTTCCTCCTCCTCCTGCTCCCCGCTGCACATCCAGAAGAAGTTGAGGTTTGAGGATTCAGTGGATATCATTGGACTGGATGTGAAAATGGCTGAGGAGGCTGCTGCTGCTGCGGCGGCCGTGGTTGCTGCTTCTTGCTCCAATAACAAAAGCAAAGCCGTGTTCCTGCCCGGTGTCGGGACGGGACACCATGCGAACGGACTGACGAAGCCCGCAGGCTCCTCCGGGACCTTCTCCAACAGTAAACCCGGGGCGGCCAAGAAACTAGTCATCAAGAACTTCAAAGGTAGCACACACAAAACAGTCAGATACTGTGCAATAAGCTCCAAAACATCAGCAATATAAACTTTTAACAAGTCCACAGTGGAACATGTAATCTGTTATTGTGATGTGAGATTGGCTGTAAAAGGACCTGAAGGCTGTAATTCAATGTAAATGTAACAATAATAGAAACCTAGCTGAATCAGTGCTCTCCTATAAGGTCAAATCTGTCAGGAAATATACATTTCCTTAATTGTGTCAATATGGGAATGACTCTTGGCTCAGTGAACAGAAATGTACTAGGCATACATATTTTTGACATGTTAGGAAAATAATGTATTAAGAGGCACTCATTTATCATCAAATAGGTTCTAACAATCATAATAGGACATCCAAATAAGACTATAAAGACTAAAGTAAAACTAATAAATATAGTTTCTAACTGCCAAGCTTAATGTTTACATATAACATATCTAAAATGAAGTTGTTATTGCTCTCCTGAAGTAACAGGATTATAGAGTAGGATTGGGAACTTTAACCTACGTTTTTTTAGATGAATTTAATGAGATGGCGCATTCTCATTATTAATAGTTATAATAATATAACTTTATTATCCAGCACCTTTCATACAGTGGGTGCAGTACAAAGTGATTTACAATTAAGGGATGAAAAGTAAATAAATATACACATCCAAAAACAAACCAGTGCAAATCTGAGGCTATAGCATGTCTAATAACAACATTCAATAACCATGTTTATTTATTTTATAGTCAGGACCATCTTGCTATAATAGTTTTTATAATAGCACTGGCTTAGTGGCATTATGGGTCAGTGAGGTCCACTGTTTTATTGTTATAAGAACTGTTTTGTGGGTTTTTTTGCACACAGAAAAACCCAAATTGCCTGAGAACTACACGCAGGAGACCTGGCAGAAGCTGAAGGAGGCAGTGGAGGCCATACAGAACAGCACTTCAATCAAGTACAACCTAGAAGAGCTCTATCAGGTATCACTACTGACCTGTTCACCTCCCAGAGGAAACACATTTATAACTAAAGTTTCCTTTTTGACACTTTTCTTTCTGTCCCCTCAGGCAGTTGAGAACCTGTGCTCCCATAAGATATCTGCCAAGCTTTACAAACAGCTGAGGGCCGTGTGTGAAGACCACATCAAGTCACAAATTGAGCAATTCAGAGAATATCCTTCACTATTTTATTCATCTTCATATATCTGTCTGTGTGATCTATCGTAGTATTGTATTGCTTAGTGATGATCATGCAGTCATATTGCAGAACATATCTTCTTCCTTAACGTTGTTCATACGGATGCCTTGGACAGTGTGCTTTTCCTAAAGAAAATTGACACATGCTGGCAAGATCACTGCAGACAAATGGTATGTTTCATAACTTTTACAAGTGAAGTGGTGGCTTTCATATCCCTTGAAAGTCTGTTTATGTAAGGTCTGCTTTCCTTGCGATTTGTTTGTCAAATGTTCCTGTTTTAATTGTCTAATACTGATTTGAATATTGAACTTCCATGAAGTTGGGGGAATTAAAACATCAATATTAAATGTATTGTAAAGTCTCAAACCCAATTTAAGATCATGGTTATTTTCTCAAAATTGGAAAGTTAACTCACAGAAGCCATCTTACAACTGTTTTCATCAAACAACAACATGTTTGAAAAAGAATAACAATGTGATCACAGCTTTTTCCTAACTTTTTATGTCTGTCTTTGTTTCACAGATCATGATTAGGAGTATATTTTTGTTTTTGGACCGTACCTATGTTTTACAAAACTCAATGCTGCCATCTATCTGGTGAGTGATCCCTGAAGTCTGCTGTTGTACATTAGCATGTAGCAGATTCATATGTTTAAAAAAAAAAGTTTGAACAACTTCTGTGGTGTGCAGGGACATGGGTCTGGAGCTGTTCAGGTTCTACATCATCAGCGATCTGAAGGTCCAGTGTAAAACCATCGACGGGATACTGCTGCTCATAGAGATGGAGCGAAACGGAGAAGCGATAGACCGCACCTTACTGAGGAGCCTGCTGAGCATGCTCTCTGACCTGCAGGTAACAGACTATTACTTTTTATATTAATGATCCAAACACTTCCTGTACTAAAAGAAAAGTGATGCTTTAGCAGCTGTGGTATTTGTGATTATCACCTGAACCGGGGTATGATGAGTTGTCAGTCTCTTGTTGACAAATGGCTTTAATTAAACCTGTGTTCTCTCCATCCCTGACAGATTTATCAAGACTCCTTTGAGCAACGCTTTTTGGAGGAAACTAATCGCCTGTACGCTGCAGAGGGACAGAGGCTGATGCAGGAGAGAGAGGTGATTTATGTGGACCACCGTACTCTGGGCCCATTTATATTGTTTGTTTCCATGGTTTCTTTTTTACAAGACTGGACACAATGTCACACAATTTATGTCCAGTATTATGATATGTTTGCATCTAGAACATGACCTTTATTTTAGTTACTCAGAATGAAACTGAAAGGACTTCATCACACAAGAACACTAACATATCCATAGCTACAGGAGATCCGAATGCAGTACAAGACTGAAGGGTTTCCTTCATCTCAGCTGAAAAAAGATTTAGCTTGATTCAGACAGAAAGTAAGAAGAGAGTAAAATAGAAATGTATATATCAGCGTTTCCGCCAGGGGGGCGTCTTGCCGTCATTTCACACCCTTATTCAGCTCAGGACGCCCTGAACGCGAGCCGAGGGCGTCCAAAAATATTAATAATTCGAGAGAAGATGGAGAGTTTTTATTGCTTGAAAAGGAAAAAGGATAAGGACATCCCTCTGTTGGAGGGGCAAAGGAGTCTGGTGGGATTCTTTTCGGAGTATTGAAGATCGTTTCCCCGACATCGAAGGTGCCTGCTACCGGACAACACGGAACCTGCACGATTTGGACGCGATGAGCGGAGGGGTTTTAGTGGAGCACGCGAGTGAGCTGCGAGCGCCGGAGCCTCGCAGCGGCGAAACTGAGGCTCCGTGGTAAACTGTGGTAACATGAAGAGCCGTTTGGGTGCCGACACAGCTGGCGCTTTAATAGAGCAGAGCCAAATGATCCGGCTCACTAACGTAAAAAGCTCTCGGGGTGGACGCCCTCTCAGCCCTGGTCTGGCGGAAACACTGATATATATACATTTTCTCAATACTGATACTGTGTGTGATATATATGCACAATCAAGATTTAGCTGTCACATATAGTTCATTATGTCAGTATTTACATATTTTTAAATTACATTAAAAACTGAAACACATGAAATGATTGGTTGCGTGAGAGTTATGATACAGGATTTTTGACTCAACATAACTTTATTCAAACTGGTCTGACTTTCTTTATTAAACAAATCATATGGATTGATGTATTCAAATATGACTCCTTTCCGCTCTCTTTTTGTAGGTCCCAGACTATCTCCATCATGTCAGCAAGCGCCTGGAGGAGGAGGCTGACAGAGTCATCACGTATTTAGATCAGAGCACACAGTGAGTCCTACACTGTAGTATTCAATGTGCAGTTTCACAAACACAACGATTCATTTGTAACATGAGTTGGTTTTTTTCCCTGTTCAGAAAACCGCTCATTGCTAGTGTGGAGAAGCAGTTGCTGGGCGAACATCTCACGACTACTCTGCAAAAAGGTACACAACTCATATTTATGAGTGGACCTTAATCCCAGTTAGTATGATTGTATAAAAATACCTTGCGCTCATGTCGACCCTTAGGAACCTTCCTAAGCAAAAACATGTTTTTAAACCACAGCCTGGCTCTTGAAAGTTTAAAAGCAGCTTGATTCCTGATCTTTCTTGTTGGAAACTTTCAGGTCTGACTCACCTGCTGGATGAGAACAGAATTCAGGATCTGTCTCTTCTCTATCAACTCTTCAGTCGAGTGCGAGGTGGCGTTCAGGTCCTCCTGCAGCACTGGATAGAATACATAAAGGTATGAACGGAGATAAAAGTCTCAAGAAAAAGTGCCAGGAACTGTTTGTCATATTCTGTTGCTAACTGCTGTTTTCAATGTCTTGAAAATCAAAACCTAGGCTTTTGGAAGCACAATCGTAATCAATCCAGAAAAAGACAAAACAATGGTGCAAGAGTTGCTGGACTTTAAGGACAAGGTGGATCACGTCATTGACATCTGCTTCATAAAGAACGAGAAGTTTGTCAACGCCATGAAGGAGGCTTTCGAGACATTCATCAACAAACGGCCAAATAAACCTGCAGAGCTCATAGGTCAGCTAACATGCCCCACATTCATACCTCCTCCTGTGTCATGCAATCAGCTGATAATCCTAGTCTTCATGCATTAACACGTGGTACAAATATATACTTTTGTTTCCAGCAAAACACGTGGATTCAAAGTTAAGGGCAGGAAACAAAGAAGCAACAGACGAAGAACTGGAGAAGATGCTGGATAAAATAATGATTATTTTTAGATTCATCTATGGTAATGGTTACTTTATTTTACTATCACATTTGTTTGAGTTTATGAACTCTGTGTTGATCTTAATGTTATGATGTGTTGTCATTGTAGGAAAGGATGTTTTTGAAGCCTTTTACAAAAAGGATCTTGCCAAAAGGTTGCTGGTTGGAAAAAGCGCCTCTGTGGATGCTGAAAAATCTATGTTGTCGAAGCTGAAACATGGTGAGTTTAATCCTTCAGTGTCACTTCTTTACACACACAAACGTCACAAACAACGTGAAATAAAGGGGACTCTTGATCCTAAATACTTTTGACTTGTGTTTCCTCAGAATGTGGAGCAGCGTTCACCAGCAAACTGGAGGGCATGTTCAAGGATATGGAGCTTTCTAAAGACATCATGGTGCAGTTCAAACAGGTGGGAACTACAAAAGTGGGTTGAATCTGTAAAAGGATCGTGTGAGTTTCATATTGGATTGTCCTGATGGTGAGATGATGTATAAGGGAGTTTAATATTACAGACATTATACTAGGGCGGTAGGGTTTAAGATACAGGGCTGCAGAACAAAATGCCGGTCCTTGTACCTAGCTAATACTTTGTCAAAAGGAATGTCACCTGGCAATTGAATATTTGCTATAAGGGCTGTAACTAAAGATTATTTCCATTATCGTAAAATCTGCCAATTCCAAATGTATCGCTTATCTGTTGAGTTTATATATATTTCAGAAGATTTACCAAAAAAAGGACATCATAATAGCCCCTTCAAATATATTTTGATAGGGGCTATTATGGACTATGACATGATCCACTGTGTCCCCTCCAGCTTAACTGACCAGCTTATCAAATGATCACCCGAATAAACTTTCAAAGATTCACATTTGAGTGACAGGGACAGGTTTATGTTGACTTAAACTGTTTATGTAATGTTAATCTCCAAACTGGTTAATCAGGCAATCGCTTCACCTCTAATTTGTAGGTTACTTTGTAATGATATAAGCTTTTTATACTGGTTGTCTTGCCATTCTTGCTAGATAAAGCAATTATCACTGCTAAAAGAGTTGTACAATCCTTCCTCATACTATTACTAAAGCCTCTGTGCAGTGTTTTGAAATCCATTAAGCTTTCAAACTCTTGGATTTATGATTGGCTTCATGGATCCTGTTTCCTCACCTCACCGACACCTGAAACAGCACGCCCTCACCACACAGGGTTTCAGTTTCTTATAGTAATAACCTAATGCGGAGAATTGCATTTGGCTGCAGGATAACATCCCATGTGTGTCACTTGTTTCTGCGCAGTACATGCAGTGCCAAAACATTCCAGGCAACATTGAGCTGACGGTGAACATCCTCACGATGGGTTACTGGCCAACCTATGTCCCCATGGAAGTGCACCTGCCTGCTGAGGTCAGTGCTGCTGAGCAAATAGCGATATCTTCTGGAAACGTACTGTTTTTACAACCTGCCGTGCAATACATCTAGTGAGTGTTGCTCTGTAACGCCTCTGTTATCTTTGTCCAGATGGTGCGACTACAGGAGATCTTCAAGACTTTCTACCTGGGCAAACACAGCGGCAGGAAGCTGCAGTGGCAATCTACACTCGGCCATTGTGTCTTAAAAGCTGAATATAAAGAGGTACATCACTGAAGCCTCTTTCCCACTTAACAAAAAACCCACCTTTATCTGGCTTTTGACTTTATTGGGAAATGTAACAGCCAGACAAATGAAGATGATGGAAACATTACACGCTCATATTTACCCCTTTTTTTGGCACGTTTTGGCACCATTTTGTTGTTTACTAGCAATGATAAGAAAGTCTAATTTGAGCTTATTTTGAGCTTATTTTATGTGTTTTGAAAACTTACATATGCCCTAATTTTGGTTATAATATAGGATGCTCTGGTGTTTTGCTCACTCAGTGAATAAAGCTTAATGTTAAAACACATTTCACTCAAACTAAACCACACCTGCTGAGAGACAAATAAAGGCTTTCTGATTCTGATTTATTTCTTCTCTTGGATTTGTCTTACAAAAGGGCAAGAAGGAGCTGCAGGTGTCCCTCTTCCAAACGCTTGTGCTGCTGATGTTCAACGAAGGAGAGGAGTTCACACTGGAGGAGATCAAACTGGCAACCGGAATAGGTTTGTGTTATATCCCATTCACATCAAAGTTTGGTTGGCAGCACTTCCATGAAGAAATAACTACAATAGTCAAGCACTCGTGATGCAGCACCACTGATGTAAAACACTGTCCCTGTGTGTGTGGGTTTACAGAGGACAGTGAACTGCGCCGGACTCTGCAGTCACTTGCTTGTGGGAAGGCACGTGTCATCACCAAAATCCCAAAAAGCAAAGATGTGGAGGATGGGGACAAGTTTTCTTGCAATGATGACTTCAGACACAAGCTCTTCAGGATCAAAATAAATCAGATCCAGATGAAAGAAACGGTATGATACTATCCCACCGTACTTTCCTCCTTTCATAGTATTTGATGAAGTATTTTAACTGAGTGTCTTCCCTCAGGTGGAGGAGCAAGCCAGTACCACAGAAAGGGTCTATCAGGATCGTCAGTATCAGATTGATGCTGCCATCGTGCGGATCATGAAGATGAGGAAGACTCTGAGCCATAATCTCTTGATGTCTGAAGTGTACAACCAGCTCAAGTTCCCTGTCAAGGTGATTAACACAACACTGGATCTCTTTATTAACAAAAATGTTCTAGTTGGTATATATGGGTTGATATGAGTGTTCTAAATAATGTTATCCCTGTATCTGTTGTGTTGTTATCTAATTGGTGTACTTGCTTTATCATAAGCAGAGTCACAGGGTTTATTTTGTTATGAGTCATTTAAAACCAGCTGTTTTGCTTTCCATTTTTTACCAGAATGATATTATTATGTCTATATACAGTATCAGTTTGAGAGTTTCAGTCCTTAAATCCTAAAGAATTTTGACTTTATTATGTACCTAGAGCAGGGGTGTCAAACTCAAATACACAGTGGGCCAAAATTAAAAAATGGGTACTAGTCGAGGGCCGGACTGGTTCAATGTTTATTGCCAAACGTATTGAAATGAACTTATTGCACATATTAAACCTGGAACTAACAAAGCTTAAATTATTGCCTATAAAAACAACATTCAACATTAAATAATCAGTTGAATTAATTTATTATGGATCTATCTGCAGCTTTTCCGGAGTCATTTCTTATGAATACATTTTTCCACAGGCCAACAACAGCTTCAAAAAAACAATTTCCCTCCAAGAGAAAACCAAACATGCCCTGTGTCGTGAGAGAACAACTGCAACAGGAAACATCCATTTAAACTCAGTTTGCTGCTGTGATGCTAGTTCAAGCAGATACTTGGCATCTCATCTTGGGTGCAAGTTCATCAATGTTTGGGGTCGGGCTCTGAGCTGAGGAGATCCTCAGGATTGAGTGAAGGTGTGCGTGCAATATACCGGCGGGCCAGATCTAATAGTAATTAGAAATTATCCTGCGGGCCGAAATTAAATCCACCAAGGGCCTGATTTGGCCCCCGGGCCTTGAGTTTGACACATGTGACCTAGAGGGACATTTTATTGGTAAATATTGTTCAGTTGCTGTGGACAAACCAAGAAACTGAGAAACGTTTCTAAATGCACTTAGAAATCGTTTTACTGCTATTTTTGGTTACTTAACAGCTGAACAATTAATCAATAACTGCATCATTGAATGGTATATTCAGATTTTCTGTCATTTTCTTCCACTCCAAAGGCTGACAATACTGTCAAAAAGTTGAATTAATGTTTGATAGGTTGTGGAGAAATCTACTGAAATCAGATCCAAACTGGTGTGTACAAGAAAATACTTTTTTAATAGTCATTTACCCTGGGAAGATGTCTTGTATTGCATTAATCTTCTTGTCACTGTAACAACCTCAAAGTATAAAAACAAGCAGATATACTGGCATGTGCCTCGTGTGTTAACCTTTACCTGCTCTCTGTCCTTTATTTTCTTTCAGCCTGCTGACTTGAAGAAGAGGATAGAGTCTCTTATTGACAGGGACTATATGGAGCGTGACAAGGAGAACCCCAACCAGTACAACTATGTGGCTTAGAGAAAGAAAAAGTGACTGAGAAAAAGAGATGCAGATGGTCCATTCAGGCTGAGGTCTCTTTTGCTCCAGTGGATGTAAACCATTATCATCTTCAACCCAGCGGCCGACAAGTGAATGGATACTGCTCCACAGGATTCTTTTGTCAGGGTTCTTGTGATCCTGTGGACTGCATGCCCATCGAAAAGAGAATAGTGTCCGTATTTCTCAGTGCCTCTGAGAGAGTTGGGCTACCGTGGAAAGACGAAGAAAACACAGATGTTGTTCCGTTTGCTCTTTTTTTTTAATGGAGAGGAAAAAATATTTATTTTCAAACTTAGATTATTCTTTGTTCATAGTTTGAATCAATATGCTCTTTGTTATTAAGTCACTTTTTGTCTTTCTGTTCACTCAGTATCCCAAACAAATGCAGACACTTCACAATGCCCTAAATGTAGTACAGATTGGAGAGGAAAAAGGGAAAAACCGACTTTTTTCTTTAGTTAGTGTCAAATTTGGGACTATTGGATTAACATTTATAGTAGGAAATTGCCAATTGGGTAAAATCTGTGTCAAATGTGTTCTACTGCAGCAAATTTTACGATTTTTTTTTTAAGGCCATGTAGCCATCTGATAAAGCTGTGATCATGAACACACAAAGCGTTCAAAGCTCAGTTTGTGCCAAAAAAAAGCACTTATTTTGTTGTAGGGTGTACTAAAGCTGCTAACACACTTCAGTTGTAAAGACAATGCATTTAAGTTTCTTGTTTCTTCTGTCTTTGTACATACTCCACAAAAGTTACATTTTAGATGATCTCATCCGACACTGTCAACTGCTTTTTAGGTTTTTGTTAACCCTTAGAAAGTATACTAAAAGCACAATGACTTCAGAGCCCATTTCCCCATCTTCCGCGGAGTCATACCACATACACACTATATTTTTTTGTATGTCTCCCTGTGTGGCTTGCAGGCCTTGTTGAAAAATGAGGGGATTGGAGGGGATTGCCTCAACACTCGAGGAAGAATATGATTGAGTAAACATGCCCTTGTTTGTATGAGTATGTTAGATTTATTGCTACAGATTAAAATAACTGTTTTAATCAGGTTTTTCTTTTTGTTAAATGGTTTCCAGAGTTAGAAGAAACACTCAAATTATCACCTGAAAAAAGTAGCAATACCACAATGCTAAAATACTTTGTTACAAGTAAAAGTCATGCCTTCCAAATGTTACTTGACTAAAAGTACTAGTGCCCAAATAAACGTAAGAAAAAGTACTTGTGTGGAATGGCCTATTTCAGAATAATATCAATGGATTATTATTATTATTATTATTAATGCACGAATGGGTTCATCACTTTGATTTTGCGTCTGGTAAAGGTGGATGTTTATAATATTTGAACTTCTGTATACATGTTCTAATAACAAAGGCCTACTAATCAATACATCATAAATAATTAGTTTATTAATATTAGTACAATTCTCAATCGGCGAGGTTGAGTAGTAGCATATAATATGTAATTGTAATAGAAGTATGAAATGGAAATACTCAAGTAAAGTACAAGTCCCTCAAAATTGTACAATACCGCAGTAAAATGTAGGCCTACTTTGTAACATTCCGTCACTGTTAATTTCCAATCAAATGAAAGCAGGCCCTTAGTACGCATTTTTCCAGCCGGACGCCTTCACATTCCCGTGATCCTTTTAAAACTTTATAATCATTAACTAGGTAAAAGGAGGAGATTTTAAGCTAAACCAGTTCAAACACCTCCTTCTGGTTTGAGACTGTCATATGACTCTCATTTCCTGGTACAGTCTGTGCCTCAGCTGCTTCCCAAACACCGCTGACTGAGCGTCACTGTCGGGTTATTTTGTTCAATTTCCTCGCTTGTGGCTGACACTCCGATACTACTCTGCGAAGATGTATCGATGTGCTACATTCGTTGTGTTTCTCGTCCTTGGAATTGGTACGTAACGTCACCTTCATTTGTATTTCAATCGAAAGTAAAAACTGAGAAATATAAAAGGTTTTTTGAAACTGCTGCGATTAATGGTAAACTTATAACACTAGCCTGGGCCTGGTGCTTCCGTGCAGAGGCTAAGTGCTGCTCTGTTAAAAAACGAGATCCAAAATATGTCGTAATTGTCTGTGGTCTTCAGTTTAATTTATTTACATTGTCTTTAAGGGTGCCTTAAAACGAAATCACCACTATTCGAGGTGCAGTCCAGGCAGTCGTGATGTTTTGCTAATGAAGCTAGCTCGATTGCTAATTGTTACCTACGTCAACAACATCTAACTGGAACACCGCGAAGTCGCAATAAAAAGCTCAATAAACTATATTTAGCCTCAGATTTGTATTTCATATTATCATGCCAACGTATTAAAAACACATTGAAAGTTATTATAATTTCACCTTTAACGCTGTACTGCCTTCCCACAATGTGTTAGCCAAATTAGCCGTTAGCTTACTCGTTAGATAACAGTTGTTTTGAAGATGAGTTAATGATCAAATCATGAGTCATGTCTGCTGCTAAACAAGGTTAGCCACACACCAATGTTATTTGGGTAAACTGGCACTTTAAAACAAGTAGGCAACAGAACATGCATCAACAAAATCCTAAAGGGCTAAAATAGTTAGCATTAGCAACGGTTATGCAGTTTACAGTAAGTTAGCACGTGACAGTAACGCTGAGCTAACGTCATTATGTAGTTAGGAAACTGGCTTAATTTAAAATCAATGTGGTTACATAACATTAAATAGATAGATAGATACTTTATTCATCCCAGATTTGAATATTATTCAGTTTCAGCATCAATGTTTTCAGGCACTAACATATTTAAAAGGTGGAATATAGTATAATCATAATAAAATTAAAATGAACAGGACATATCTGCAGTAGAAAATACGTATATCAGAATGAGAATAAATGAATTCGTCCCACAGAGGGGAAATGTACATTTGTTACAGCAAGTAAAGAGCCAAAGATAGCTCAATTATGAATTAAGAAGCATTCATAAAAATATTAACGATAAAAGTAGACAAAAATACATATGCGTATATATTTACAGTTATATATATATATACATATATTGCACATACAGTAGGTAGTATTGCATAACAGGGTTGTTATAATCTTTGTTGTTATGTGGAAATATTTTCGTTATACATTAAAACACGTTTAAAAAGGCGCTTTTATAAACCTTTCCCCATTAGACAGGCTCACAACATTTGAGAAATCTGTGTGAGAGAAAGGATGTTAGTTAGGATGAGGATGTTAGAATTGTTAATCAGATAGTTTCAGGTGATGTGAGAGTTGGGCCTATGTCTCTAGTTACAACTCAGCCCTTCAGTAATGATACTGTTTTATTACAGCAAGATAATACCTGTTTGAGTTGATGTCAGTGCTTTATACTTTTATAATACTGCTGTTGAATTGATGATGATGCTTACTGCTAAAACCATATAGTAATGGAACTTGGCCTCTCTTCTGTTAAATGTTATACTAACTCTCAGAGTATGTAGAATGATACAAGATCTTATTGCAAGTATGACTAAAAATGTTGTTTGGAAGTATAGTGTCATCGTAAAATATTACTTTATTGTTTTCTAGTCCACTGAGGTCGAACCGGGGTTAATATGATTCTTCAACACATCAAAATAGCTCTTAAAAACACTTATGTGAAAATGTAAATGCGATTGGCTCTGCTCAATCAATGCCTGATAGAGGATGCAGGTACTCATGGTGTTTGTTTTTCTGAAAATACGTGGCTTCTTAGTCTCTATAGTATATTTGAGGTGTCCACGAATGCCCACTTGTTATAACTTTAGATTTACTGAAGATATTAAACTATTGAATTACAGCTGGATTAATAATCATTAGAATATAATAAATAATAGTATTTTTTCTTTTTCTTTCAGCGATCCAGCTGTCAAACGGCACTGAGGTCAATGTCAAAGACAAAGACAACAATTTATGCCTCTATGCTAAATTAATGGTCAACTTCAGAGTCTCCTATGAAGTCGCCGTCAATGAGGTGAGTGTGTTGTTTTGGTCACAATAACCTCAAGATGACTATGTTTGGTATATTTAGTACATCAGGTTACACATTGTGAAGTAACTTTAGCAGCTCAGCTCTTATCAGCACGCCTCAGCGTGACTGTGCGAGAACACTCGTCTGAGATTCTTGCAATTCAGCATTTCAGTTACTGAGTTTTCCTGCATGGATATCCTGCAATTGTTAAGTCCTGTCTTTTAAAACTAGTTCCCTTTGGGCAGTTTTTTTTCTCTACACTGAACACTTTAATTGATCTTTCTTATCAGCTAGCCTATAAAAGTATTGTATTTCATGTCATGTTTACAGGGGAAGTGTTTAAGTTGATGAGGAACTGGTTATCAAATACGTTTAATTGAAGCTTCAAAATCGTTAACTCTTTTCATTTTTTTTATTTAGACGTTTGTTAGGACAATAAAAATGTGTATTCAAATAAAGCAAACAAACAACTAAAGATGCAGATACTATTGCATGAATTAAAAGAATACCGTTCCGAGTTTATCTGTCCAAGTAACTAAAACTCATGAGTTTAGTCATGACATCAAACTTGTATAATTAATTTAAATATTGTCACACTTTACTCTCTTTCAGATCTTAACAGCGGAGTTTAAACTCCCTGCCAGTGTCGCATCAGATGGAAGTACATGTGATAACACAAGCTCAACGTTGAAGCTTAATTTTGGAGAAGGACACTCATGGAGTGTAAACTTCACCACAGAAGGAAAAATGTACCAGGTAGACACCATCACCTTTTCCTACAACCTCAGCGACGCAAGCATCTTCCCTAACTCCACATCAACCGGTAACTTCTACACCACACAGTGCAAACAAAAAGACACATAACAATTATCACAGTCTTTGATCTGATGCTGATGTGTTTTCTGAATTTCTTGTAGAAACCACAACAATCTATGTGAAGCCTCAAATCAAAGATGTCGGAGTGGACACCTGCTACTCATGCGAGAGTGAAGACACGTACGTAACTGATTCGGTCCGTCAGACGCTGTGGAACGTGCTCATACAGGCTTTTGTCATTAACAACAGCACAAGTGAAAACAGTAAGTACAAATGGACTTTTCAGGGTTACATTACAAATCATCACACCACAGCAGCTGGTGAAAAGGCAAGGGGATGAAACTGTGGGGAACATATCAAATCTGTCTGTCGCTTTGCTGTTCCATAGCACAAAAGCTATCACCTCATTTCATAACAATGTCTCTTCAAAGTCCTGATGCTTATAATGATATGTGATTTTTGGCTAAGATCTTATCAAGTCAAGTATTTCTTTAACACTAGAACCGCCAGAGATTTTTTATACCTAAAACCGCCACCGGGGTCAAATTGACCCAGCATTAGAATGCATTGATTTTCAAAGTAAAAGTATTGCTTTTAAAAAGAGAAATGGTCCTGTGGTATTGGTATTTTGACAAGCAATTTTGTTAAATTGTTTCGTTTATTAACGGTACAACATAGGTTTTCGTGAGGCGGTTGTCGTTGTTGGGTGAAAAGCAAACAGCTGTTTGCTGCGTTGCAGAGCAAGCAGTCTCCCGTGAGCGGGAGCGCGCTCCTTCACTACAGACTGTCGCTATCTATCAATCTCTCTCTCTCTCAATCTATCTCTCAATCTATAAGGAACTGCAGTAGACAAAAGGCGTTGTTATAGCAACACGTCATGTTTGTTTACACGCAAAATCATACATACAGTTACATACAATAAAAAAACAGCTCTGGGTCAAATTGACCCCGTTGGCAGTTCTAGTGTTAATGCGATTGCATAATATCATTTGATCAGGTTATCCACTGCAGGCAAAATACCCGGCAAGCTTGGTGGTGTAACGAGGTTTATCCAACTGTGAAATGAAGGAAATGTGGTTCATGACCAAACAAATATTTAATCTGTTGAGTTTAAATGTTTTAGATCTCGCTAAATATATGATTTCATAATCTGAGCATAAATATGAAATAACCCGGAGATGTACAACTTCAATCTGGAAAATATTTAGTTTTTACTTGTATAATAACTAGGGCTGTCAGTCGATTAAAATAGTTAATCGCAAATTAATCGCACATTTTTGATCTGTTCTAAATGTACCTTAAGAGGAATATTTTTCAAGTTTTTAATACTCTTATCAACATATGAGTGGACAAATATGCTTTATGCTA